GGGAGGTGCCTGGCGGCTGGACTGGAGATGTTGGAGCAAGTCTGTCCGGGCTGTCAGTCTGGTCGTAGGTGGTGGGGGAGGGGTGTGCGGTGTGTTTTCTAGGAGCCCTGTATGTTGCCCTGTGTGTTTTCCTGTCTGCATCTCCCGCTCCTCGCTCTGCTCTCCTGCTCTGAGGCAATTAACCCTTCCTGATGGGTCTGGAGGCACCTGGGTAGACAGAGGCCCCAGTCTGTTGGCAGGGAGGGGGTGGTTCTGGAGACCTGATGGATCCATTCCTCTCTCCAGACCCAGCCACAAACCCTTTTCAGTGGGGAACCTCTGGGCTGCTGGGTGTGCCAAGGTGATGGGCCCCAGGCATTGGCACAGCTGCCTTGGTGGAGCGGGACGGGTGCAGCACTCATCCAGGAAAGGTCAGATGAGATGAAGGAAGGAGGAAGAGGTGTATTCCTTTCCAGGTGTGGAAGGGCTCTGGACTGGGAAGGAAGGAGGCCCAGTCATAGAGGTCCCTGGAAGTAGGGTGAAGGACTGGCCAAAAGGTCCCCTGGGGGATAGGATGTGTAGCCCAGGGACTCTTCTTCCCTAGCTGTTGACCAGCTTTAACAAAGTGGGGAGGGAATGGGGGTAGATCAGTGGGCTGGCATAGGAGGAACGCCAAGTGCCTTTAGCCAGCTTGTGTCTCTGAATCTAGCCCACTCAGTCAGAGCCTCCTGGGGTAAAGGACACAGCCTCCCACATTGGGGAGACTCTGAAGGTAGAATTCCTCTGGCTGCCAGGCAGGGCAGGCTTGAATGGGTTCTCATGACTACTCTGTCTCCTCTCCAGTCAGTGTTTCCTTTTTTCCCTCCCAAGAGGGCCCCATATGAAGACAACTCTCTCTCCCCTACTCCCAAACCCAGGGCTGCTGGATCTTCACTCCTGGGTGCTGGGGAAAAGCTCAGTCCTCCAACCTCATTATGCTACAACCACTTCTTAACAGGGGCTTCCTGCCACTTGTGTCTCCTTCCCTGTGACTAGGTACATTTCTCTTCTGACTCTTTAGCCTTAGTCTCTCCCTACCCATTCATGGGAACGAGGCCAAGGTCAGCCCAGGCTGAGCTGCTGACAGGAGCCCTGTACCCTCTTCTCTCTTGGCTCCAGGCTACCAATGGCCACTGATGCTGTGACCCTCTACCACCGGTCTCTGATGAGGGGTGGGGGACATCAGCCCATGAGACTGGGTCAGGGAGAGGGTGCATTTTGTTAGGTGAGGATAGGGATGGCCTGGTGATTATGGGGGGTACTACTAGGAATCTGCCCTGGGAAGTTCAGGGAGGGGAGAATCTTTAGTGTCCTACTTTTATAGGTTTGGAGATTTTGTTTTTGCGAAAGGTGGGAGGTGAGAGAAGTAGAGGCAGTTGTCCTAGAAGAACCTGACTCTGTTTCCCTCACACAGTTTTAGCTTCTATCCACACACTTCCTCTCCTTTAAACATTTCTCCCAACACACCTAAAACTGTCTGGGCCTCACTGACAGCTCGAGAGGCAGACGGGGAACCATCCTGTAGGCTTCTATTTCCCAGCCATAGGGGTGAACAGCCCTGTTTGTCTGCAAGTCTGCCTGTCTGTGAGTGCTTGAGTTTCAAGGTCTAGGAAAGGCTAGAAAGTGTGTGGGGTATGGGGAGAGCCCCTCAGCCACCCTCCAAGGCTAGGTTTCTCCTCCAGCCTAGGCAGCCCCAGCATTTGAGGGTGCTTCTCTCTGCTGGAGGTGGTACCTCCCTAGGCTGTTTCCAGCCCTTTGGTGACTTGACACTACCCTTTTTGCTGCTGCTCCTTCTACCTCCCAATGCTCCCCTCCCCCTCCTGAATGGGAATGAGGCTTTGTTCTGGGGTGGACTCAGGTTTGTCAAGAACCTACTATGTGCACATTCAGTGCTGGCTGAAGTGAAGCCCTATGCCGGCTCTGGCGGTACAAGGTGCCCAAGACACTGCCCCTTCCCGTACCTCAAAGGGACCTCCCACACCTCCATGTGACCTCAGCCTGCTGTGCCCACCCACCCCGCTGACCCCGCGAGCATGCTCGGGCTTGGAAAGGCACGTCTGTGGGTGTGAGACGGAGCCACAGCATTTGGTAAGTAGGGGGAAGCAGGGTAAGTGTCCACGCTGGTCCCATCCTGGCTTGGGGACGAAAGGAAGGGAGTGCACCCTGGGCTGTCAGGCTGCCGCCCCCCCTCCGCCGCCCCGCTCCCGCGGAAAGCTCTGATGTTCCCCGCGGTGGTGGAAGAGGGTATGTGGGTGTCAAGGACTCACAGACCAGGCTCTGCTGTCGGCTGGAAATGGATGAGGGTTCCACACTCTGCTTCTGAGAAGGGTGAATTAGGAGCTGGAGTGGGGGGCGGTAGGTGAAGGGGAGAAAGAGGAAAAAGAGATGCGGGTGAGGGGTTACCGAGCCAGGACCGACCTTGCTTGAAAGGAAAGGAGACGTGGCAGGCAGGGAAGTCGGAAAGATGAGGCAAGGGCGGGAGGGGCTTCTCAGCGGTCGGGGCCCTTTCGCTGGAGTCTGGGGCCCTTTCTGCAGGAAGGGGGGGGTTGTCCTCGCTTGATTTTCGTCTGGTCTTCCCGAAGCTTTGCCCTGGGGGCAGCAGCCGCTGGGAAGGGTGGGGGTGTTCCTTTGCCCGCAGTTTTCTCCAGTGGGTGCTAGGGAGGAGAAGGGGGAAAGAGGGATGCAGAGGGGTTACAGCCAGGGCGGGGACAAGATA